GTCGGACAAATGTGGAACGTGAGGCACTGAACAAGACAGCTGACCACGTCTCTTCAACAAAGCGATGGCGAAAGGTTGGATGGTGGGGGACAAAAGAGTATTTATTCTAGGCAAAAAGGATGAATGACCAAACGCAATGTGTGGACTTCATCTGGATCCTCGGTCAAACAAACCAACTATAAAATGACATTCAAGGAGACAATCCATGGATTTTTAATGTTGAATTACTCAGAAATATTAAATTCTGGTAATTTTGTAAGGCATGATAATGATATGGTTAAATAAGAAAAGATCTTTAAAATTTTCATACTAAGAATTTTTAGAGTCTCTTTTCTTCAAGTCTTTCTTGCCATGTTAATAAAATTTCAATTTGTTAAGAATAAAATTATCTTTCACTTATGGCAAAAAAAAAATGAACAGTAAGGCTTATCAGGGGAAGAGACGGGGGACGCGATCATTGCGACAATTACAGTGAATCTATGGGGGTCTGGCTGCCGAGCATTTCTGGTCAAGTATTCTATGAGTAGAAAGTTATTTATAGGTCTAAGACTTATTTGGAAATTATTTATAAATTACACATGTTATTTTAGTAATGTGTGTATTATAAAGCATAAGAAACTTTTAAATGGTAAGAAAAGAAAACAGGCAGAATTTTTCCTATTTTGTTCTCACACCCAACTCTGAGGATGACTTAAGGAAGCCTCTGAGAAAGGCAAACTTTCAAGTTTTGACTCGATTTACATGTGTAAATATTAACCTGAGCACCAACTGTAATAATCAATTTCTATCCCATTACGTAGCAACTACTAGATAGGTATCCTGACATTCCCTCCTACTGAGAGTCAGCAGTGCTATAAGGTTTTACTTCTAAAAGCACATGGCCACCAGAGTCCACAAAATGCCAGAGGAAAACTGCAGAAGAGCAAGCCCAGGAGGAAAGCAGCATGAATGCGCTTGCCCCCAATGGCTGTATTCGTGTACAAGGACGAGCTTATCACTAAAAGGGAAACTTCTTGTGTAATTTCAAGAGATCCTAAGCATAATGTATGTTAGTCTACTAAGACAATTTTTTTTTTCCACATAAGCTCAGGAGACTGGATTTGTAAAAAATCTACTTAGATATTTGCTTCATATAAATGAGAGTTCTTATTTCTATAATTCATGTTTTAAAGGTGACTTGTTCCTCCAAACATTAATTTAGCATTAAGCTTTTCTTATAAGAGCCAAGACTAAATTCTATAGATCATCTTTTTTCTCTCAAATAAAACTTGGTCAAGATGAAAACAGTTCCATCTATATATCAATTATTTTACATAATAAAAAATAAATGCAGAATAGTCTGCAAACACTTTCCCGCCATATGCAAGAGGAAACAAAGAATGAGATTCCTGTTAATGTGCACAATCTTTTTTAAAGATATTTTGTTTCAAAAAGTCACCAGTAATATTGTTTTGCTCTTTACAAATAAGATTCAGAAATTAATGTTTGTTTCATCTTCAATATACATATTCAGTGTCTTTTGGCCCATACGGCGTCCTGTTGAAGACAACTGCTTTCGGGGTCACAGTGTGGTCCTCGACACAAAGTAACTTGGAATTTGGTGGCAGAACCTTGGGAAATATCCTCCCTCCTCAGGAAACTGAGTGGCAACTCACACGCAGTAAAGGAAATAAGTTCTCAGAGATCATCCCTACGGAGAGCTCGGGAGCCTGAGGTCTCTCTCTGAGACACGAGTCATAGCTCAGCTGACAATAACCTGATTCTATCAGACTCCGCTTTCCCTTCCTTGAGATATGCAGGAATTGAACTCTAAGACCTTGGTTTATTTGACTCAGTTTACTTCATCTTTCCTAAAGCAGAAAAGCCTGTCAACTGCATCTCCTCAACCCTCCTTCCTTTTTCTAATTACTCTCAGTGGGAGGGACTTGTGTCGTCACAGAATAGTCACAGAACCCTCAGAGCTGCAGTTGTGAAAGTATCTGGAAGTGACTTTGCATTTGCTGGAATCTGGTTCTAAGGGGAATTCACACTTGGGGAAGGCTCACTGTCTTCCCTCAAGCCTACATCCATCTGTGGTGACGGCCTCCAAGCTAGGGTCTCTGGAAAGATCCTGGTCAGGATTTTGACAGATGGCAACGAGACCTTCTGCCATAGGGAAGAACACACAGATAATCAGCACCGGATACCAGAAACGGGATATTTTATATTCTCAAGTCAGTCTAAAATCTGCTTCTACAAAGAGAAACACAAATGCCCGAGAGCAGCAGAGCTGGTAGGTAACTACAGGTTACTGAAGTCAGCGTTGCTCAGGAAAGAAAGTACCTGTACAGGATTCCCATGCAGGACTGCTATCTAAAATTGTTTCATATATTCCTATGTTTGAAAACAAAATCGACATAAGGCGGCTCCTAGAAAACGAAACTCCCACCATGAACAATACCATGAACAGAAGCATGAACGCCACTTACCGAACACGAGAATGAACAGCGTGTTTAAGGACACCACCCAGAAGACGTGCTCCTGAAGGGAGAGAGCGTTAGTGAGGCTGGCGCGGGCCACTCGCTCGGCCAGGAGACTGGGAGTGTCACCCACACCTGAGAGTTCACTCCGAAAATGACACGCAACTCTACTTTCCTCATCAGATAGCTCATAAAACTAAACCGAATAAAGCTCAAAGTTTGTAAAGTCACATATAGAAAATAAATAAAAAAAAATTAATCCATAAACATTTCCTCCTCGGAAATTAATAATCTACCACAAACTACACAGATTCTCATACATTACTGCCAGACTGCATTAAATCAAATGACACTGAAAACTCCTTAATGGAGAAAATTTTGAAAACTACATTAATTCTTAACGGCATATTAATGTAAGCTGCACCATGCTTCTTCCAGTGTCCATTTTGTTCTCGTGACTTCTTCAAGGTCACGTGATCTTCTCTGGTCCCTTTTCTCCCTATGGTGTCCTGGTTTTCTTTGTTCATACCTCAGAATACGCATTCTCACTTGGTCGATGGCCCACTTCCACAGATACATATTATCACCTCCAAGATGACTGCTACAATCGCCTATTCCTCCAGCCATGTCACATACACTTTCGTCCTGCTCCATGACGACACCAGAATGTCCCAGCCCACTTGTCTAGGCCTACCACCTCCTCCACCCCAAACATCGAGTTAAATGATCCTTTCAAAAAGAGCCAACATTGTAAGCTTTTCTTTTTAGAAACATTATTCTGATCAGGCCCCCCAATCTGCCACAAACCTAAGTAGCAAGGCGGGTGGTTAGTCTGTCTAAAAGATGACTGCCACAGTCCTACTCGCCACGCTGGCTTACATCACTTAAAGTTTTTCAGCTTCTCTGCCTTAAGGGCTCCCACAGTGTCCTTATCGCCAATATCTTTTGTGCCTCAACCTCTAAGTGATCTTCTTTAAAAACTCCCTGCTGACAGACTCCCCTAAGGAACATCTCACTAAGCCCTCTTCTGCACCTCTTGTGTCCTATGCACTCCTTTGTCACTGAGTCTTTAATACAGAGGGCCCTAACGTTCCTTGTTCACATCTTCGTTTCTCTTTACTGAACTATAAAGCATTTGAGAACAGCGACTCTATTTCATTCATCTCTGAATCTCCCAGTAACGCAACAGCTGGCACATGGTAAATACTAAAAATAATGTTCCGTAAGTTAATGAAGTCATTCTGTAAATGTCTTTTTCCAGTAACTAGAATGAGTTTGAGTCAACACTACTGCCTCGATGACTTGTCACTCATGGAAGAGGGACTGACAGGATAAGGGATGCGGATGAGCACATAGCAAATGATACTGTCTGTACTGACCACGATCATACCCTGAGCAGCTCACTAACATCACATTCTCACTAATCCGTGAATCACTGCCAGATGCATTCCTCGATACCCAAAGCCATTTAAAAATCCCGAATGGTAAGTGATTTTATATTACAGAAACTTAAAAAAAAAAAAAATTCCCTTTGAAGAACAGGTTCTTTAAAGAATTGTCCCCCACCTTTTAGTTGCACTCTTTATTAATAAATAAGGTAAAGACAGGTGGGGTTCAGTAAAAAGTGGAAACCTGTGATGAGCCGGGGGCTCTCACTGTGAACTTTGAAATGCTGCTGTTTCCACTAGTTCAGGCATTAAACACTGCAAAGTGGAACTTTAAAACAGGGGTCTCTGACTCCCCCTTCCCCAGCCCTGCCCACACAGCAGGCAGCAGGCGAGCAAGCGAAGTTTGATCTGTGTCTGCAGCCGCTCCCCAGCGCCAGCATCACTGCCTCAGCTCCGTCTCAGAGCATCAGGGATTAGATTCTCATGGGAGCACCGGTCGCTGGGGCCAAAAAGTTTGGGGACTACAGTTATAAAAGACCAAGTTCTTCACTATCATTAACTTTGTTATTTTGTTTTCTAAAAATCAAATATTTAATAATTTTAAACAGTATTACCTTTATGCTTTGCCAATATTTTCAATACATATAACAAAAATTTTTCAACATATCAAAAATCAAAGGGCATTTTGATCTTTAGCATAAAAAGCCAACACATCGTAAATTTGAAACCACTGAATCACTAAGACAAAGTCACAATTCTATTATTAAAAAATATTAGATTTACTTACTAGAAAAACTAGTGATCCATCAAGTCCTAGCATCTAAAATAAATAACATGCATTAATTCAAGATAAAATAGAATTTTTATTCTATTTATGAAAAACGTTCATTTTCCTTTCAGTATCTTTAAATAAAATCTTTAGCCACTACTTTCCAATATGGCCTATCGTTTTCAGGGAGTAAAAAACTTCCATTTAGGGGAATTTTATATTTTGGGTCTCCTTTGATTCCAAATCATAATTATAAAGTCAAAAATATTCCATCTTCAGTTTCATCTTTACATTAGATAGGGAGCCAGCCACGATTTCATGACACAACTACATTATGTTGTTAACTGAAGCATCAGGATATGTAAACTGTTACTTCATTTTTTAAAAGTCCACAATTTCAGGTTAAACATTCCCTAAGTGGAACAAGGTCTGTATTAGAGGCCAGACGATAGAAAAAGTCATCAACAGATCTTCATCGTAATATTTTTAAGATTGTCACTGCAAACAAAACATCAATTTTCTCCAGAAATTAAAGTTCTATTAAAGTTTTCATCAAATGTAACTACAAAATTAGTATGTACATCTAAACATGCCCAACTTTAAAATGTACTTTAGGATCAAAACACTAGGATGCTGGCTAGAAAGAAGT